GCCGCTCTGAAAGGGGGACAAGTACAGTGACAACTTAAGATAATCTAGCCTAACCAAGTTGATCCAAGTCGGTTCGGGCCGATTGCTGACACCAACTCTCCTAAATCACTCACTCTCTCTGTCTCTCTGGTGCATGTATTGATTCATTGTCTAAGTTTGTTATTGGGCTGCCGGGACATGCGGCTCGAGGGGTTCAAAAGTGTGGCTGTCCCGTCCAATCATGGGTCACAAGTATGACACCTACAGCTCATTATATATATACAACTATATATAGAGTCCCCGTCTATATCGCCACAACTGAAGAATGAACTTCCCTCCTTTCCCCGATGTCAACGCCTCCTTCCCATGTCAGTGAGACCTGACAGAAACCCCACAACTCTAGCACCTGAAAGCACACACCCCTGCACAAAGTCAGCTGCAGCTAGTTTGGATTGGCTGAATCATCTTTCAACCGAACCCGATCTGCACATCACTGTCAGAATCCTCCATGGTTTGCGCCACAGCAGGGCCCTCAGCTTCATCCTCAGAATCATCGAGGACAACTGAGACTGGCTTGTTTGGAACTGGTGCGTCTGGTGAAGTCTCATCTAAGACAATCTCAACTGCACCCTTGGTGCGCCCTCCTTGTTTGCCAGTGTGCTCTGTCGATTTCCCAAATGACATTGATGTCAGGTTGTGTGAAGAGGATCTCCGCTGGGGACCTTCCTGCTCAAATGATAAGCCTCTGCTCCTCACTGTCTTGATGCCTTTTGCGGTAGAGCCTCTAACCAGCTGAGTCCTGTCTTCAAGACGTTCGGGCGTGGTAGTTTGCACCAACGGTCTGGCACTTGCTCGCACCGCGGGAACCATCTTGCTGTCTCGCAAAGGTTTCACCGGCTTGATCTTCTCAAGCTCTTGGAACGATCCTTCCTGGTGTGGGAGCAAATGCTGAAGATCCGCACGCTTTCGGGCCATGCATGCCAGGATCCCGTCGTCGACAGTTCCTCTGGCAACCAAATAATGAATGTCAACAGAGGATGTTTGACCAATGCGGTGAGCACGGTCCTCAGCTTGTTCCATAATTTTGGGCACACTGTAGAGCTCAGCAAAAACCACCACGGAGGCTGCTGTGAGGGTAAGGCCCACACCGCACGCAGTGATGGACAAAACAGCGATTCGAACGGAAGGATCCTCTTGAAAACGGCAAGCTTCAAGCCCACGTTTGACGGCAGGTGTTTTTCCATCAATTCGCACATGCCCGATCTTTGCTTGCTGCACCCGTGCCTCTATGATGTTCCCCACCACTTCGTGATGAAAGAATACCAAAAGCTTGTCTTTGTCCAGTGAACTTGCAAGCATTTCGATATAGTCCGCCGCGATGTCAGCTTTGGCTAGCCCAACACGCGCATAAACTGATTGCCAGCCCTTCTCAACGCGTTGGACCTCTGCATCGCCCTCCCACTGTAAAGCAGCCACAGGAGGCAACTCCAAAGGCACCGTCCTGGCAAAGCCGATTGGGGTATGTCGTCATTTCCCGCCGAAATACATAAGTTGGCTGAGTTTGAGAAGTCCACAACTGCCTACTAGAGCTCTTGCTACCCCAAAACAGGGGAGGAGAGGGAGGGAGAGAGAGGGAAGGAGAGAGGGAGAGAGAGAGAGAGAGAGAGAGAGACGAAGATGTAGTTACAGGTAAACGGCCGACACTAACCACCAACCGCACCTGTTTTCCTTGAGCCAAAGTCAGTGAGCATTAGACATGTATATAGCACACTACACTACTGTGAAACAACACCCCCCGCTGAACGAAAATGGGAGGAGTGAGGATATGTACAGTGCATGAATTATGAGACCTACGACGGTATCCGGTCCCCCGGTACGTGCGATGCAACGAACCGGAACGCACCTCGAGATGGAGAGGATGATTGACCTCAAGGGCATTTGAATGAAAGCACTGTTAAGTTTCACTGCAGTGTAGTACATGTCTGGAACTGACGCACGCAATCAAGCTCAATGCAAAAGTGCAATAACGGACTCTTTTCAGCGCAATGGAACTGGAAGTGCAATGCCAACCTTTTAGAAAGCAGGAACTAAGCCATCAAGGCACACGCTCCCGCGTGGCGACAATGCACGACAAAAGTATTTGCGCTTCTGAATGCACGGGTTTGGAGACAAGTACATCGACTTAAACTCAAATGAATTAGCTGTTGGTGTCAGGCAACCGGTCCCCCGGTGCACAGCCGAAACGGTCATCCAGGCAACCGCTCCCGCGGTGCGATGAGGGATGCACAATGCCCGAATGGAAGCATTGTCACCTATGGATTCAATCTCACTCTGCTCATCTCCACACGCAATGGCTCCCGCCGTGCGATGTGCCTACCACCTGCGCTGATCGCTGCCTTGACCACGGTCACGGTCATCTTGCCACCAGTCTCGGGAGGAGGACCACCACGAGGAAGATGATTGATGCTGCCAACCCTGGGCAGAATCGTGCCATGAGGCTCCTCGCCATCGATGCTCTGCGCTCTCGGCCTGAGATTGCGCCGCTCTAGCCAAAGTTTGCCCAGCCCCTGGTGCAGCCTTGGCTTTCGGAATCACGAGCGCCCTGGTTTCCTTCACCAGGTTGATATTCAGGCCAGGAATGAGTTGAGCATCTTCTGCCACGAACGCAAGAAGTTCATCACGGACATCATCGGGGTCATCCTTCTCACTGCGCCACTCGCCACCAAAACCAAGGATGGCTGGTCGCTTCGGCCCATGGCAGTAGTCACCAGCAAAGGTCTCTGGCCGATGGAGACGATTCTTCCAGTACACGAAGAAGTCTTCACTGATATCGGCGTCGTCGCCCTTGGCAATCTCATTCATGAAGATGATCTTGCCCGAGTACCTGTGGCCAAGTCCCTGCGCAATCATTTCACGTGTCCGGGGAGGATTAGGAATGACCGCATCGGAGAGGCGCTCCAGGAACTGAATGCAGATGGGCGATAAGTCCGATAAGTCCTGAGCTGCGCAGTTGAACGCGTAAAACGCATCAACCAGCTGCCTTTGCGAGACCGTCAGGCACATCTTCTCCTCCTTTTGAACATGGCTCTTGGCATTAGCTTTCAGGATGTTAATGCCAGACCTCGATGCTCTTGGCTTTTCATGGTCACTCCCAACTTCGTGAAGACCTCGGCAGTTTGACACATCTGCCTGGCGTACTCCTCGGGCAAACCATAGCTCTGGGAGCCGCAATAGCACACCACAACAATGGCTGCCACGTCCTTTCGCTGACGTAGGTCAGCAAGGCGACGGAGCTGTTGTGCATGCTTTTGGGCCAACTCAGCCTGCCATTCGTAAGCTGCTCGTTGCTTGGCGGGATTGCGATGCATTCACGCGTCGATCGACGTGCGGCCGGGTAGACATACCTGAAGTTGGTAGCTACATCCTTCACGACCAAAGCAACGCGTGCCCCATCTATATCCATTTCCTCATCGTCACGGATAACGAGATGGTCGGCAGTCAAATGTTGTCCAAACTGATCCGCTTCGACTTGAGTGGATCCGCCTTTGCTGTAGGACGGGCGCTTTGTCATCTTTGCCCTAGAACAGGCTTGACAAAAGGGGTTCTTTGGGGTGTGAGTCAACAGATGCTGTATTGATTGAGCTTCTTCTTTCAACGCTATCTCCCCTCTATCCCGTTTGGGGTCCAACGGCTTTTCCACCAACCTTTCATCCACTGGTTCAGGCTCCTCTTCATCAGGGTCAGTCAGGGTCCTCACCAATGGGGTTCTCGTCGTCTTCGTAGACTTCGATCGCCTCTTCAGCCGGTGAAGCGGGCAGAGGAATCAGAGGAATCATGGGTCGTGGTCCCCCCGACCGTTGGCTTGTACCATAGGGTTGACCTATGGCGGACATCGCAACACCAGTTGTTGATGGCAGAAATGGAACATAGTCATCTACTTCAAGTTTAACCTTTGTACCATCTGGTTTCTTGAAGTATGGCCTACTATAAGCGGGCCAGTGAAAGCTCCATCCTGCATCGATGCAGCGTTGTCCCACAGACACGACGGCTGGACTGTCATCTAGGACGTACGGATTGATGTCATCACCCAAAATGGGAACATTGACTTTCGCTTGATCGGTGGCTTGGAAAATTCTCCATTGGCAGTAAGAAGACTCACCGGATTGGGAGACTGTGACACCTCACCTGAATGAAGCATGTGCCTAGACACAAGATCGTGAGCGCTACCAGTGTCAGCTATCTATGCGATCTCAGTGGCACGCACTGATGGCGACGACCTCTTACCAAAACACTTTACACAACCAATGTCAGAGTTGCATAGGTACGAACATTCTGCCGGCAAGGACAAAAGCTCATTCCTGACAGCGTTCTGGAGATGCGAGGCAGCAATGGAAGCATCTTCATTGGCGACCCGAACGGCTTCAACATATTCAGGGCGATCTGGTGTGAAACTTCTCCCTTTCTTCTTACTTCGGGGTTGAACAGGTCTCCAGCTGGAAGAAGACTCAACAGCATGACTAAAAACATTCGGTTGATCGTCAAAACGGACTTGTTGTCTAACAAAACTGTCAATGTTTTCTGCGTTGTCAAAATCGGTGCACATAGTGTTTGACGCGGAAAGGACCGGCATGGCCACGCTTCCCAGCGGGCGTGTGATGAGGACGGAGGATCCCTGAGAGACCACTGCGGCCATGACCACAGCACATAGGAGGCAGACCGCCGCCGGTGCATTGGAAGAAGAAGACTTTCCACTTTTTCTCCGCTGGCTTTTGGAGCCAGTTGAGTTGTCGGAGCCTGACGACCCTCGCGAACTGCTTCGCTTGCGAGGTTTCTTCTCTTTCTTCTTCTTCTTCTTTCTGTCCTCTTTCTTTGCAGGGACAGTTTTCTCAGGGTGTTGGAATGCGCAATCTTTCCCTCGATGACAATGTCCTGCTTTCCAGAATTTGCAGGTCTCCGTCCGAGATCCTGGAGTCAGTGACCTTGCTCGAGATTGGCTGCCACCCTTACCCTTGCCCTTTCCTTTGCTTTTCTCGCGGCCCTTTTCGTGCTTGTAGGGACATGAAGATCCGCACTTGCATTTTCCAGTCTTTTGGTAATCAAAGCACACACCTTTCTTATCCTCTGGAGCTGGCGCAACAACATCTTTGGCACCGAGGGAGCGTTTGGTGGCATCCCTCATCTTTTCCAGCCTCTTTCTCTCGAGATATGCCCGAGCCGCAGTGATGAGAAAATCATAAGATCTCTCTTGCTGCCTTGGCAGCGCGGTCGTATAGGGCAAGATCATGTTCAAGAGGCTTGAAGCGCTTCACCGCTAAGTGAAAATACGCCTCCAGGACATTGTTTTCGGGCTCCTTTTTCATGCCCGCCAACACGCTGTCCCATGTGTTGATGAATCCTTTCAGATCATCGTTCACCATTTTGACCGACATGAGGTCTTCGAGGCCGTAAATGGCGCCGTGCCGGATGCTGGTAGCGAAGTATACTCGTGAAATCGGAGGAGCAAATGTCTTCCTTTCACGGGCTTCTCTTCGCGAGCGCGCAACTCCTTGAAGGTTGCGATTTGACGACCGAGGTCCCCCTCAGCGCAGTTCGTGAGGCTTGCAAGAAGCTTCGCGTCGAGGGTGGCAAAGCCCTCTGAATCATCAAGTGCCTCAATGGTTTGGGATTCATTGTACACTTTCCCAACCCAAGTTCTTGCATCATCTGGCTTAGCCGAAGCGGCTTCAATATTGTCCCTCACCTTAATCTTCCAGTCTCTGTACTTTTCAGGTGTGGGGAATTTGGGAATGAGAACCTTGTCGGCCTCTTTGGCCTTGTTCTCACGGTCCCTGTCTTTTGACTTCTTCTGCTGCTTCTTCAGCTCCTTCCTGATGATGCGCGCGAGACGCGACGACTCAGAGCTTGAGCCATTGGAATCATCACCTCCACTAGACGAACTGGATGAAGACGGAGATGGGGAAGGAGAGCGCTTCTTTCTGCGTTCTCGGGAACGGCCTCTCTTTGGGCTCTTGTCCTTCTTCTTCCCCTTTCTCTTTTTCTTTTTGTCCTTCCCGGACCTGCTTTCATTTTCTTCATCCGCATCTGATGGATGTGGATCGTCATCGCCTGTGTTCCTGGGCTTCTCCAAATGAGTACGAAGACTCGCAGGAGGCAAAGCTGGGGACCCATTGAGATCCAAGTGACGTGGCTGTACTGACGGCACAGGCGCTCGATTCCCCGAGGCGTTGTCGAACCTTTCTCTTAGCTCTTTGATGATCCGACTCTGCTCGGCAAGTTCTGACCGGAGGGCATCCTTTCTTTGCCTAGCCGATGCGCGTTCACTCTCAATGACGGCATGTCTTTCGAGTGAAATCCGATATCAATAAGCCCTTTGTTCATGAAGTTGTTGGTTCTGATGGGCTTGATTCATGTCACTTAATCGTTGGTTGGCAATAGCCTCATGCTGTTCCCTAGACTCCTCAATGACCGCCCTAGCTTGGTTGGCGACGACATCCCGATATTGCCTAGCTTCATCGACGAATTGCTGTCCTTGCTCTGCCAAAATGGCCTGATGCCTCAGTTCAGCAATTTGAGCTACCTGAGCCGAACGATCTTCGTTGACAAAAAGCGCTTGTTGATGAATCTGCCTAGCGTCAACATTTTGAACATTCAGCGCTGGTGATGGCTCAACATGCGTTGGCGACGGCACGACGACAGTAGACAACAGGTCCCCCTGTGCACTGAATGATGGAGGCTCAATAGGCCTAAGCATATCCAGCGGAACAACAGGAAGATCGAGTGCCGACGAACTAGACATCGCTGGTGACGTCGGCACATACCCGGATCGGGAACGGTCCTCTCGGGAACATCCATCAGCCATGGTTCCTAGGCAGTGCGCTACCTACGGTGGAAGGAACCAGAGCTAGTCAAGCACGTACCGCACTTATGGCGATACGGCTGATAACCTGTAGTTACAGGTAAACGGCCGACACTAACCACCAACCGCACCTGTTTTCCTTGAGCCAAAGTCAGTGGGTATTAGACATGTATATAGTACACTACTGTGAAACAACAGAAGAAAAACACAAACAAGAAGCCATAATTCCATACAGAAATTCCTGGGCAGCTCATCAAAGAATTCCAGCTACGGTAATTAATTAGAAGCTATAGCCACATACGGCCACTACACTGACTACACTGCATCGGGGCGGGAACCTCAGGAAGTCATGGTCTGGAGCCCTAACCAAAAGCTGGCCTTCGGCGCTTCTGCGGAAGTTGGCGGAGAACTTCTGCCTTTTCTCTTCGGATCATCACTGATGACAAGACCTGACGCAACTCCGAAGGCCTCACTGACCCAGAAAACATCTCGCGACCTTGCTGATGGTCAGACACGCAGTAACGCTGCCCAAACTCACAAGGGCTTGGCATGACTGCCGGAAGCAAAGCAGCCAATTGCGGATATAGCTCGAACGCGTTATTCAGTGCTGGACTGCCCGAAATCAGCACCGCCCTTTGAGCATTCTGCAGCAGCGGAACCATGTGGCCAGTTCGTTGTGCTTGCCAGGTCTTCAGAAAATGGGATTCGTCGCATATGACTACGGCGAAGCGCTTGCCATTGGCCTGTGATTGAAACTTCGGATGTCTATGGAGCAGGTCGTACGACACAATGTAGAAATCTTTTTCACTGTAAAAGTGATCTGCGCCAGTAAGAACAACTTGAGCCGTTGCACTCAGCCATCTGGAAATCTCTGCTTTCCAAGCCAAACGCAAAGATGCAGGGACCACCACTAGAACTGGCCACTCGCGCTTGTAAAACGCCACGATGCCAAGAGCCTGAACCGTTTTTCCCAGGCCCATCTCATCCGCAAGTAGGACGCGGCCACCATGTTGGACACCAAATGCAATGCCATGGCGTTGATACTCGTGCAACGTGTTGATGATCTTGCTTGACAATCCTGTCAACGCCGTGCTTTCCAGCTCCTTGCTCACGGGCTCAACAGTGGAGATTGACAGCAATTCTTTAACCCACGACGGAACAGGCGCCAGAGGGGCATGTCCTGGAATTGCATCGATTTCAAGGTCTGTGCTCTCTTTGCTTTTCACTGGCTCCGATCTTTCCTTGGCGTGCTGTTTGCGGAGGAAGTCCTGCAATCTGCGCATACGAAAGTTGTCAGGATCTTTCTGAGCCAGGACCCAGCGGCAATATTCCTTGTCCTGTTTTGCCAGCTGCTCAAGCGTCAAATCTCTATACTTTCCGAAGCCAACTTGAGCGATGCCAGGATCGTGGGGCTCTCTGGTAAAACTTTCACTGGAGGGTTGCTTTTGCTCCAAAGTCCCTGGTCTAGCTGCATCGAGCTTTCGTTTCAACGGAATCATGAAAGCGGAACGATACAATCAGTCTTAAAGCTACGATACAATGCGTACAACTCTTGGCTTTCGGAATGATTCACCTCATCAGTAAACACTAGTGTCAAGCCGCGAGCAAATGCAATGCAATGCCTGGCTACGGCTCCTGCTGATTTTAACTTGAAGTGCAATTTGCCATGCTCCCCTTTTTGACCCAATCTAACATAATCTGACAGAGCTTCCTACAAGTTAGTTTCAGCGGCTCCAGTGTTCAATCCTACTATGCTGTAAGCCTGTAGGCACCCACAATCATAATTTTTGGCGTGAGTCTTTGGCAATCTTCAGCTCACAAAAACACAGCAGGAACATGGGGTTGGGACAAGTAAGCCTGCGGCTGGAGTATGGCCATCGCCCAGCAGGTGTTGGACAAGCCCTGGGGGTGAGTGCACCACAACAGCGCTCAACACCAAAAGCCCTTGCCAACAATCAACTGAAAGGAATGCGTTTGGCTTTAAGTCAGCTTGGATTTTGCAGTAGTCCCTTTTTGGTACTTATACTGCCACTTGAAAAGCCTCTCTTCCACCATATTCAATGTGCACCGGCAGCCTGCGAGTTCATCTCGAAAGCCCGCGAGGCCTCCATGGGCAAGCGTTCTTTTGTCAGGGCCTACTACCACAAGGCCAACCTGCAACGCCAAACTGTGGTTCAGCCGACTGGGACAGGTTCAAATTGTATTTGGAAGCAGCGTCTGTTGGGTTCTGGAAATTCCTGTGACTCAAATAGGATCTTGTACCGCTCGCAAACGTAAGCCACTGTCGTTCTAGCCGCTAGCCAAAAGCCATTACCACTTTGGGGGCCTCCGGTCGCGCACGGAATGTCGGGATTTAACCTATCGGGCTTCTGTTTTGGGTTGCTTCGGGAAGTCGACGTCACGGCCAGCACCAAAAAGGCAGAACGTTTGGGCAGTATTGAAGCCGGAGTTTAAGCATGTGAGACTAAAGTAAGGACTAAAGTCGGAGGACCCCGAAAGGACCAGGACCAAGAACGCCAAAAAACAAGGCACCACTTGATCAAAGAACCTAGCTTTCAGCGAAGTTGTCTGATGCTGTTCACATTTTCTTGTGTGATGATATATGATGATATGATATCTTGATGCTTTCTGACTGACAAAGCTGGGGCTCCAGCACCAGCAATTGCCAAGGAGATTGCACAGCCTTCTAGCCTCAAAGCTATGCACTACAGGTTTATGAGTGAGAAAAACATGAGAATATCAACCGTGGCTAATTCCACCACACAGCAAAGCACGATCTCACGCACATCAAAGAAAGCTCAGGATGCTGCAGTGGTGTAGCAGCACTGAGCTTGGCTACTGCCTGAACATTCAGCATGTGTGCGGCTCCAAATTGCTTAATTCGCTCATAGTAGCGTCTTTGCTCCTAGCAGCGGTGCCCCTAGTAGCGTCCCCGTGTTCCTAGTAGCGCCCTCTTGCTGCTAGTAGTAAGGCCAGGAGCCCCAGTAGCGTCCTCTTGTTCCTAGTAGTAAGGCCAGGAGCCCCTACAGTAGTAGCGTCTTGTTCCTAGTAGTGAGGCCAGGAGCCCCTAGTAGCGTCTTTGCTCCTAGTAGTAGCGTCTTTTCTCCTACTAGTGAGGCCAGGAGCCCCTAGTAGCGTCTTTGCTCCAGGTAGTGAGGCCAAAAGCCCCTAGTAGCGTCTTTGCCCCAGGTAGTGAGGCCAGGAGCCCCTAGTAGCGTCTTTGCGCCTAGTGTTAAGGCCAGGAGCCCCTAGTAGCGTCGTCTTGCTCCGAGTAGTAAGGCCAGGAGCCCCTAGTAGCGTCTTTTCTCCTAGTAGTGAGGCCAGGAGCCCCTAGTAGCGTCTTTGCCCTTTAGTATTAAGGCCAGGAGCCCCTAGTGGCGTCGTCTTGCTCCTAGTAGTACGGCCATGAGCCCCTAGTAGCGTCTTTGCTCCTAGTATTAAGGCCAGGAGCCCCTAGTAGCGTCGTCTTGCTCCAAGTAGTAAGGCCACGAGCCCCTAGTAGCGTCCTCTTGTTCCTAGTAGTAAGGCCAGGAGCCCCTAGTAGCGTCTTTTCTCCTAGTAGTAACGCCAGGAGCCCCTAGTAGCGTCTTTGCCCTTTAGTATTAAGGCCAGGAGCCCCTAGTGGCGTCGTCTTGCTCCTAGTAGTAAGGCCACGAGCCCCTAGTAGCGTCCTCTTGTTCCTAGTAGTAAGGCCAGGAGCCCCTAGTAGCGTCTTTTCTCCTAGTAGTGAGGCCAGGAGCCCCTAGTAGCGTCTTTGCCCTTTAGTATTAAGGCCAGGAGCCCCGCGCCGCCCCGCACCGCCCCGCACCCAGCAAACGTTCGAAAGGCTTCGATGTCGAAGTCCGTCGCGATGCAGCTCCTCCAGACAAGGTGTGGATGAATGAGCAAATTCTGCAGTGGATTGGGTTTAGAATGACTAGAGCTGGGGAAAAAATCGCTTTTCGGACTTGACCAGCAGTAGCTGATAAGGGGACACATTGGGATGCTGCCCATTCTCCACCTCTTCCAGCCGCTGCGAAAGCAAACCCGCCTGCCACAAGCATCAAGCTCACAGTTGTTCAGCTGTTCCCTCACTATCAACTCCATCCAATAGTCAATAGTATTCAATAGTTCAATATCAATGCCACAACGAATCAGAAGCTCTGTGTGTTTTTTTCGTGCAAGCCAGGTGCAAAGAATATTGATTAAACATGAAATAAAATCCTTTCAGGCAAAGGCCACAGCAAAGCCAGCAACATCGGCCGACCTGGTCAAATTCTGCATCGTCAACATCTTGGCGCAGCTGCCCTACTACCCATGCATCATGTCCATCGTAGAGAATGATAGATAGTGTGCAATGCAAAGTCCCACCATGAGTGCAGAGATGGTGAAGACAAAAATGCCTTCCAGAAGCAAGCTTAGCGAGGCTGTAGATTGAAGTTGCAACCTGAGAAGTGAAGGGGGCAAAAGCTTGTTTGCTAGCTGCTAGTCAGAACGCCCGGAAAAGACACTACTGTATCGGTTGTCATCTTTTGTCGCTCGTCTCTCTTTCTTGAAGGTACATGATGGCCATCAAATTCAAGGCATCTCGCCTTCAGCGAAGATTTGGACGTCGTCGGGACTGTGCAGCCATGTATTTTTTCAATCATGCCACAGCTCCCAACGCCTCCACTATGGCAGCCAACGCGTTGAGTGACCTCTGACGAAAAGCAAACGCATCCACAACGTTGTAGCTTCCAGCAAAGCAGAAAAGACAATTTGGGAAGGAACCTCACACTGCGAAGCTCTTTGTTCAGCTGTAGAGTCGTCAAGGCCTGAAGACCGAAGACCCACTAGGATTAATTACAATGCCACATAATCTATTCCACGTTCAACAGTTCTGGTCATACAACCCATAGATGCCTTTGATCCTCCTTTGCGCATGTCTGCACCATGAGCTACTTTTTTTTGGTTAAATGTGAAGCGTGGAGGATTTGCTGAGGGAAGTTGGGAATGAGAACGAGTCGCCAACACCCAGGAGCACTGCTGAATAAACCAATGGCTGCAAGGTTGACGATGCCGAGGAGAAACAATGTCACAATGTTGGGCAAGCGGCTAGGAACAAGAAGCTACTAGGGGCTCCTGGCCTCACTACTAGGAACAAGAAGCTACTAGGAGCTTTGTCCGGAGGAGTCCGTCCGGGAGATGCCAAAGCGAACTCGTCTGCTCGGGACATCTTTTTCTGCACCAAAACCCTTCTTCCATTTGGTCCTCGCCTGGCTCAGAAGCCCGCATTCTAAATTGACCCCTCAGACAAAGGACCAGGTTTGGTGGGCCAAGCTCTCAACACACCAAAATTCAATGTCTATGACTTTGGTAGGTGTTAAGTGTGTGTGCAAGTATCACCGCTCAGGTTCAGAAGACAATGTATGATTCTATGTGACTATGTGACGCTGAATTGGACACACAAAGGTGCGAAAAGAGCGGAAAAAAACACTGCGCAGTGGTTGCATGATGTATGGTTATGATCTTGGTCTTCCAAATCGTGAAACTTCCAGTGTCAAATCGCAAACGCTGCCCATGACCTCAGTCAAGCGAAGAAGCAATGCACAAGCAAAGCACACCTGAAGCGACTGTGCAAGCACAGACTTGGTGACCAGCTTTGGACTTGGATGGCTACCTGCATCAAGGATTCTGGCGAGAGGCGAGAAGGCATGCAAGATGTCAATCTTTTCACATCTTATAAATTGTCCAGACCCTCAAGCCATACATCTGGATGTCTGCATTCACTGGTCTTCATCATCATCCCCCTGCCATTGGTGGGTTAGGCATTCACAAAGGCTTCAAGCTCCAACTATACAACGAGTTGAAGGAAACGTGCCGCTGTCCGAAGCTGCATCATGCATAGGATCCTCGCCTTTCCTTTGCCCTTGCGGCCTTTTCCGCCTCTCTTCCTTGCGGGCTTGCCTGCGAAAGAGTTCAAAAAACCTTTCTCACCTACATCCGTCCTCTTCAGCCAATGAAATGGCCACGTGGCCTTTGCCATCACCCTTCTTTCCATCGCCCTTTGGTATAGGTGGTTGAAGCGGTGATGCTGTATTGGCTCCAATTGGCAGCTGTCCATCTGGATGCATTTGCTGAGCCTCGAATCTCGCAAAGGATCATCAAGAAAAGTTGAAACCCTCCTCTGAGGCATCCACATCGCCAGCTGATCTGAAAACCATACCCATCCCACGTGGGGCCTAGCGGTCTGCAACTAGTAGAAGAAAGAGAATCACAAAATATATAAGAAAAAACCAGCTGGACTTGAGCCCTTTAATAAAGCCGCGTTTAAAGGGGCCCAGGTCCACCTTTTTTTACTTCTCTGTTTTTTCCAATTTTGATTTGGTCTGCTTACAGGGCGAGCCTCTTGCCCACCTCTTAGCCAATTTCCGAGAACCCTGCGTGGCGTGATGGTCTCTTAGCAAGTGCTGTAGCTTTTGCCTGGGGAGCAAGCAACAAGGCATTATTTATGTTGAGTCAAGTCAAAACCTGGCTGAATTTCCCAGAGGCCGCGCACTTGAGTTAATTATGTAATTTAG